TACACTTTTTTTTCCAACTTTCTCTAAGTTGAGATCTGATTGCGCTGTTGCAACCAGTCAGTCATGTTCTACACAACGACATAATTTTCACAATTCATTGACAAATTTTTTAAATTACTTATTTTTTGGTCCATCTCAGTAATTAATTAATTATCAATTAATAAATCCTGATAAGCATTTTTTCGGGGCGTTACAAAAACAATATAGGAATGATGAAGAAACTAGACAAACCCGTAAGGCTCGTCACCACTGACGCTGTAACATTCTAATCCGTCCAGGTCTGCAGCCCCGTTCGAACTAAAGTATAAACTTGGTATTTGTAAACATTCAAAATATTTCAAACATTTTAAAACTTTATTTCATAATAAATTATTCAGGAAAAAACGGAGTATTTAAAGTTTGCGGAAGCTCAATAAATCACAATTACAAACCTAATAAATTTATGTGTTTTAAAATAGTAATTCAAATCCACACATCCATCCCAACCATCTCGCCCCATCTGCCTCCAGGAATCATCACTTCATTCTCTTTGTTTACCTGCATGTAGCAAATAAAACATATTACACGCTCAGCGGTAAAGCTAAGTAAGCATATCTAATGCGTCGAACATCTATATAAATTGAATCTCAATTCATAAGAAAATAATTTGATATCATGCACATGATGTTTAGTTCAAATATTCAATGATCAATATTCATCATTCATTATTCAACATTCATATTCAACATTCATAGTGTCAAGAATGCTCATAAACTAATGTTAGTCTAAGACCAATTTAATTCTTAAACTAGTTCTGTTGGAATGCATGAGTTCAACCCTTTCTGTGTTGTTTAGTGTTGACTCACAGGTTTTGATAATTGACAAACACAATTTATTCAAGTCAAGATTAAAGTGCTACAACGACAAACACGAAGACTTGAAGTGCCAATTTATTCAAGTCATTTTTACTATGAACAAGCACTCCTAAAATCTCCCAATCTTAAGGTTATAATCCTCCATTCATTTCTTCCTCAAATTGATATATTTTGAGAGAAAACTAAGTGTTTTCAAGAGAGTATTCTTGTCATCCAGAGAGCTTAATCTTTCTCATTTCTACTCTTGTGAGAGTTATTGCTGAGAGGTTGAAGAAGATTGTTCTTCTTGTTGTTCAAGACTTATGTGACTTAAGTCTTGGTTGTGAAGTCTTGTAGAGGGTACATCTACGAGCGGTTGTGTTGAGGCTTGTGAGATTCAAGTTCTCGGTTTGTAAACAGTTTGTCAAGCACCCGTTGAAGCTTGATAAGTAGTGGTAGCTTCGAGAGAGTCTCTCGGGGAACTAGACTAGCCACGAGGTGCTGAACCAGTATACATCGGTGTGTTCTTTGCCTTCTCTCTTTTATTTCCGCTGCACTTACGTTTATTTTATTTATCCTGCGAAAATCGGTAATCATTCTCAACAACTCTATTCACCCCCCCTCTAGAGTTGCTGTAACGCCCCGAAAATAGGCCTATCAGTATTAATTAATTGATAATTAATTAATTACTGAGAAGGACCCAAAAATAAATAAATTCTAAAGTTTGTCAATAATTAATAAAAATTACATCATTGTGTAGAGTTTGACTGTCTGATCCCAACGGTCCAATCGGATTTCAATTTGGAGAAAGTTGGACCAAAAAGTATACCCCGACTGGGACCAAATATTAGTCCCAATCAGGGACTACACACCAAACGGCGCCCTGTTCAATTACGCCGATTCCAAATCGCCGCACAATCACGGAAGCAACCAAGCCTGTGTCTTCTTCTTCTCCACTGGCCTATTTAAGCACAACTCAACTCCCTCAATTCCTCACCAAAAACATTCATTCTTCCTCCTATATTGTTCCTTGCTGAGAGTAGAGTGCAGTGGTGCTGTCATCTTTGTGTGAGGTCGCCGGAGCAG